TAAGAAAGTGTATGCAACAATTGCACAAATAAATAAATAAATAACAATTAAAAAATAATGAAGTATAAATCACTTAAAGATTTTCCCCCTTTATTAATGTTTAGTGAAGACATTAAATTATGTAACACATAAAATTTAAACTATAATTAATTTTTAAATTCTTTCGATGAAGATTTTGTGTTAAAAAAAATATCTTAGAATAATTTTTCTTCACAACTTCATAACAGTAAGAATATTAAAATTCCGCGTAGTCATTCTTATGCCTAATGCACCCCTGGCGATAATTCTAAGCTATTTTTTCATCATTATTAAGAAATTATTTTATTTATTTCTTACCTTGTGATTCTCGCTCATCCACTATGGCATGGGGGGCGAACCTTTTTGGATCAACGTGCCATTTTTTCTAAAAAAAATGTTTAATGGGGTATAGACGTGCCGTCAAATGATTTTGACTTGTAATTTTTGGGAAAGTAATGCAAAAAAAATTTTAATACTAACCACTTTAAACTCTTTATTTATTATTGAAAAATACATTTTGCACTGTATAGCAGTAAATGTTTGGGATATACGTGTAATTCAAATTAAAGAAACATTAGTGTCACTTCTGTTGTTGCCGATCAGATGACAAATAACTTTCATTAGGATTGTACGATGTTACTTTTAGCAGAACACATGCTGAATTAAAGTCATCTGCCAAATGATTTTCTAAGTAAGTCTTAAATGTTATTCATCTCTGAAAATAATGATTCTCGGGCATATATAGGTAGATGAAAATATGGTTAAAAAAGCATGAGCCAGCTAGCTTCTTCAAACAGTTAAATGTATCTGGAGTCGAATTCCATGTTTCCAAAATTTCGTTATTGACATTTTTACTCATATTGCTTGTTAATTTTCTGTTTCAATCAATTCCGACATTTTCCTTGTTTTCATAAATTTTTGAATCCATATTGAACTAGACTGGAAATCGAGCACAGTTGCATTTCAAATTCTTCAATTTATTCCAATCGAATTGGGACAAGTTCAGTTTATCAAATGAAGTCAAGGTACATAATAATTATGAAAATAAGTTCTTGAATAACTTTTTCTTCGTCTGATTTTTTCAAGATCGGGAAGTACTATTAGTTTCTTGTAATAATATCGTTTATGAAACTATGCAATTTAGCGTAAAAAAAAAGCATTGAGATTCCTCCTTGAAGATAATATTTTTTATTTTTGTCTTGAGGCCTTACATTCAATTCTTTGAAATGTTGGGATATGTCTGTAAAAACGCGACTGATCACTAGCGTTTATTCTTAATACTTCATAGTGAAAAGTGTTATTTTGAACTAAAATGTTAACCGTTTCGATCGGAGACGTGTTCAAGTAATTGTGTCGCGTGCCATCGCCACTGGTTCGCCATCTCTGAACTAGGGCTTGAAACTCCTTTCAGGTCTCTGGTCTTCTAGTTACAGTTAATGTCTTTAAGTGGAATTTGGAGCAACAAAGGCTATTATCCCTCCGGTCTTCTAATCACAGACAATTAGCTTTGTTTATCAACATCACACTCTCCAAAACAACGGGAGTGGACACGGTAGCCTGGTGGTCAAGGTCACGAACTCTTGGCTAGCGTGTCATGATGTCGAGCCTAATACCGCTGAAGACCCACCGTGCAGAGGGGTCGATGTGCGTAAAATATATCGATGCTTTTACGTCCTCCTGTTGGTGTGGTATGAAAGTTAGGAGAAGAGGGGGCCAGCTCAATGTCGTTCTCGTCACTTGACCATGGTTCAAAACTACGAGGTTCATCGCCAAAAGCCCTCGAGTAGCTGAACAGGACGACATTAATATTTACTCAATCACCCAAAACAAAGCGATGGTTACTGGTGACGAATCTCGTCATTTTATATCGTGGTCAAGAGACGAGGAAAACACCTAAGCTGGCACACCGCACTTCAAACTCCCACACCATGCCAACGGGAGGAATTTGAGTCTCAACAGAGTTAAGTGCATTTGCCCCTCGACACGATTGGACTTTAGTGGCGGCAGGACTCGGTATCCACGTCTCGACAACGCTGGCCGCAAGTTCAGGACCATGACCACTCAGCTACTGTGGCAACCTAGGCACAGCTATCAGTAAGTAAGGATGGCGATTCTTTTCGAAAAAGGTAGATTTTTAAATCGATTCGAATCGTAACCTGATGAATCGATTCACGAAAAAATCGAAGTCTAAAAGATCGATTTCTAAAAATTCGATTTTTTTTTCAAGTCTGCGTCGACAATGTAAATATAAATCCATTGTAGGAAAAACAAGAAAGATACCATAATAAACGATCTCTCATCAAGTAAAATCAGGAAATTTTTTAGTTCAGGGAATTCGATAATTACAATTATTTTATTACCATATCAAAGTATTAGGTATAAAAATAGACATTTATTTTCTAAATGTATTTGTTACATTAAAAAGTTTAGAAAATAGATAATATAGCTTATACTTCCCAATGCTTAACATCTGAGCTTTTTAAAAACAACAGTCTATGAAATCTACTCGGAACCAAGTGGTTCCGCTCATCACTTGCGATGTTGCCGGCAATCGAAAAAAAGGAGCTCACAAGGAACAGATGATCCCACGATACTCATATACATCATGGCTATTGAGTGAACGGGATGATAAATAGTTTTTTTTGTTCTAGCCAGGAAAGTATAGGATCATACTTCAGGTGCACAACTGCCTGCGATAAATAGTATTTAAAGATAGTACATTCAACAAATTGCATTGGTTTTCACCAAAACAGAAAAAATCGAATGTCGATTTTCTAGGATAAAATATAGATTAACTGAATCGATTCAGTGCTACATATCGATTTAAAAAATCGATCCTTTTTGGCCCGAGAAATCGATTTCAAAAATCGCCATCCCTATCATTAAGACCTGTTTTTATAAACATTTCTGTAATCAAATTTATCACCATGTGTATTAATAAGAAATAATGGATGGATGGATTTTTTTATTTATGCTGCACTACGATGGCGATGGACCTCGTGACTTTGAAACTCGGTCAAGTGACGAGATGATAGCAGGGCTGGGGCATGCCACTTTTCAAATTTTCGCACCCGCCAACGTGAAGACTTAGAGCAGGGGTGGCAACCTTTTTGCGAAGTGCCACTATTTGATACAAAAATAATAATAATGCGTGCCATTTCCAACTTTTCCAAAAAAGAAATATGGAAAAGTGAAAAAAATGTTACATATAAGCTTATTACGGGATTTTTACGCACAGAGCACATTTTTTAATGCTAGTCTATATGTAGTCGAAATTTAAAAATAATGTAATAAATAAGACAAAAGTACAAACTTTTTGGTTTTATTGTTGATTAACTTTTTAAAGTTCGATCAATTAGGTTAGGTATAAAATAAAAATGAGTAACTTGACTCATTTAATTCGAAATAATTATTAAATGCTCAGTATTTACTTAATGTGGCTTTTGAATTACTACATTTTCAATTCCTACTATTAGCTCACACTCTCTATTTATTTATCTTGGTGGAACTTTCAATCGTTAATAAAATACATTTTAAAGTGCTCCATTGAGCTGAAATTTTATATACATGATTTTTATTTTGGATGGCAATACAATATTAATAAAAATTAATTGATTAAAATTAATTACTTAAAGAATTACAAATACAGCCCCGTTGGCATCATTTTTGGTGACTTAGCGACCCTTTTGGCGACTTGTGTCAAAACTTGGAAAAAGTTTTATTTCAGTTGAACTGAAATTTTATAGACACGATTGTTTTGAATGACAATACGATATTTTAATGATAATTAATAAAAATTAATTACCACTTACTGTGATTCTGTCATATGTATATACATATTTATATTAGTTGTAACTATTTAAGAAAAAGTATCTAAAATAAAATTTTTCTTTGTTGATCTAAGTAAAAATTGACTTAAATCTGACTTAAATTTTTTTTTATATTACTTGTTTTTACTAAGTCCTCGTTCATAAGTCATCTATATCAGGATTAGTTCTTATAGATGCTAACTAAATTAGGTTATTGTAGGTAGCTAGCACTCGCATTAGCTAGTTTTGAGTGATATTTACTTAATTGTGTTCACACATATAGCAGAAAACAATTATTCGCAAACATTTTTATTCAGATTTTTAGAGTTTTTTGGTCTGATACAACCCCACATCAATAAAATTGTAAGAAGTAGTAAGTAATAATCTTTTCAAATTCTTTAAAATTTTTCAGTAAGTCTTCACGTGCCACTGCCACAACTCCATCGTGCCACACTGTGGCATGCGTGCCGCGGGTTAGACACCCTTAACTTAGTCTTGATAAATTTCTTTGATTAGAGCCTCTCTATACGGTTGGACTTCTGCGACACCAGGACATAGATCCACGACTTGAAGGAAAAATACTGGCCACAATTTCGCGAATATCATCATTCAGAAACCACTGCCACATAAAATGAAGGAAATTTGCAAAACTGCTTTCTCAGGTCACATATTTCATTTTGCAAACATCGCAATTTTAAATCATTTTTTTTTCCTTTCATGTTCAATATAAGCTAGTGGCACACACAAGGGTGGGGTTTGGGGCTTCAACCCCTCCCATAGCCCAACAGATTTTTAATTTTTAGCATAAAGATTACATCTATGTGCTTTCGTGTAAGTTTTTTTAAACCTCCCCCCTCCTAAACAAGATACGATGTTTATGTGTGCTTCCCAAATTTTTAACTTACCTATAATAAATATTTATTTTTTCAATTTCTACTATTAGTTCACTCTCTCCCTATATATATATATATTGTTCAAATTTTCAATCGTTAATAAAATATTTTCTATTCATCCATTCAAGTTCAAATACATTTTTCAAAACTTGTATTGTATGACACCTGATGTTAACACATTTTTTTCAAATATTAATTCATTAATTAAATTAAAAAATGAATAAATAGTAACAAAAATAATAGTCCAACAGCATGTATTAAAAGGAAAATCATTCGTTGTGTCCCTGTAGCACAATGGATAGCGCGTTGGACTTCTAATCTAGAGGTCGTGGGTTCTATTCCCACCGGGGATGGCCTAGTTTCCGAGAATAGGATTTCTTTTTTACTATACTACACTCATGTCCATAAATTAAGGATAATGAAGTTCAGGCAAAGAAATGGACAGAAGCGAAATAAATTTGACTTATTTGTAAAGTCTATTTATTAAACAAAAGGTAAAGAGCAAAAACTCCCTGGAGCAAATTTCAAAAAAGAACCTATTTACAAAAAACAGTATAACATGGTTAGTATGATGGTTAATACGGAGTATGTCTCCCGGACGATGCAATACAGGCCTAACAACGCCTAGGCATGCTGAGTATCAAATTATCAATCTGATCTTGGGTAATATTACACCACTCATCAAGTAATGCCCCCCGAAGTTCCGGTAGACAAGTGGGAGGGGGTTGACGGGCTGCAATTCGTCAACCAAGCATATCCCACACATACTCCATTGGATTCAAGTCCGGTGAGTATGTTGGCCAATCCATACGGGTGATATCCTCCGATTGAAGGCATTCGTCTACAATGTTTGCATGGTGAGGTTGGGCGTTGTCATCCATAAACAGAAATTCAGCACCCATGGCGCCCCGAAACAAACGTACATGTTGTTCCAGAATGACATCCCGATAGAGAGATGTGGCCTGTCATCCTTACACTCTGAACATGCAGGTCAGTTCTGGAACCAACAATAATTCCTCTCCAAACGAGCCATCCTGCACCACCGTAACGGTGCCGTTCAATGGTGTTCTCTTGGTGGTAACGGGTACCTGGCGCTCTCCATATTAAAATCCGGCGAGAATCAGGCTGCAAACTAAACCTGGACTCGTCGGAAAACATCACACAAGACCACTGTTGTGGTGTCCACAATACATGCTCTCTACTCCAGGTTAATCGCAGGCGACAGTAAGTTGCGGTAAGTGGAACACATCTGAAAGGCCTACGAGCATGTGCCCTAAGCGTTTGCACACGGTCTGCCTTGAAACTGTCGTACCGATAACTGAAGAGAGCTGACGAGACAGGTCTGATGCTGCGCTCCGTCTGTTTCTTTTGGCAGTAACTGCCAAATACCGGTCCTTTTTCGGCGTTGTAACTCGGGGGCGACCTGTGCTGTAACATCTACTCACATTACCATCATCTTGGAATCGTTGCCAAAGCCTGGAGATGACACTTTGGAAGATTCCAAGTTCCTCGGATACTTCCAGCTGGGTACGTCCGCATTCCAGTCGTCCAATAATTTTGCCACTTAAAAAATCAAACAAATGCTTCCTTTGTGCCATAACTATGCGGTTATTGCACTGAAAGGCTTTTAAAGCGCTTGTGAACAATTTTACTTGAATAGGCGTTGAATATGCGTTATTCTTTGGGCGTCCGGACTGTAAAAACAGTCCTCAATCCCATATCGTGATAGTCTATGATGCTGGGCATGACAAAAGTGGTGTTTTCCATTCTGCTGAGTGGCATGATGGCGATTGGTCCAACGATGGAATCCGGGAGGCGTGGCTATGGTGCTTCATCTGGGTGGAAAGTGTTTTGAGTTTTTTGGCTTGGCTGAGAGCTTAGAGGTTGCTCTCTGATTGGATGCTGGGTACAGTGAACATTGACTCCAATTGGCTGCCCTGGGAGCAACAATTTTACTTCTTTGCCACCATTCCTTATATACCCCTCTCTTACACTCTCGTCATTGTGACGTACTATCCGCGCCATCTGGTGGTTTCCTGTAATTTGCATATTCTTCTTCAAGATGTGTGTGATAATTCTACAGGTGAAATTTTTGTTTTAGAGTTCAATTTCTGTGTGATTCTGAATTATCCTTAATTTATGGACATAAGTGTATTTTATTCATAATTAAACTTAATTAATGAATAAATAGTAACAAACAAAAAATAGTGCAGCACCCTATGTAAAAAGGAAAATTGCAAGGAAAATCGCTTTTTATTTTGCCCTTTATTAGTTTGATTCTTTCACATATATATACATATTTGTTTTCATTATAACTATTTGATAAAAAGTAACTAAAGTCAAATTTTCTTTGTTCACCTAAGTAGGAATTGACTTTAAAGTTTTTTTTTATATTACTTGTTTCATTTTAACTTTATCTGTAAGATTTAAAATTCTAACCAATGAAAATATTTTGTGAATTGAAAATGTTTTTGAGGTCCTTGCTCTTTCCTTGATGCACATGATTTAATCGAGAAAAAAATGAGGCTTAAAATAAGATACAATTTTAATCCGTCATTAACATTCTGTATTTTATTTACTTTTTTTTCTTCGTTATGTTAAATAAATGTTTGCAAACTCCTTACGGGTGATCTAATATCCCTGAGATGATGCGTATCACTGTTGAAACGAGTTCTCTTTCATTTACATCTCTCATTACGAATTTTTGATTTCAAACGCAGTTGGGCCTCTCCGAAATTAGACGCAAAAAAAAAAAAAAAAAAAAAGAAGTTAAGGCTCCAAGGCGTAGGATATCTTGATGATGCTCCTATCTCTTCCTCCTCCCCACTCCTTGAAATCAGATAACGAGTGGAAGGAAATATCGAAGATTTTTATCCTCTGTCGATTAACTAGATCAGTCAGGGGCAAATTAAGCCTCGAAGGAGGGGGAGGGAACAAAACCCGTCTAGAAATTCTCTGCAGACTTTAAGACAAGAGAACAGAAAATTTCATTCTCCGTGTTTCTTAAAAATAGCCGTGCTTTTGCAAATGCGAAATTTGAATATACTAGCTGCATGGCCCGGCGTTGCACGGGTTGTCTCTACTTTTATAAATTTTCCATTTCTTTCACAAAATCAGAACTTCTAATACTCATTTTCAAAATGACTTTCACTTATTTCCACCAATTTTTAAGATATTTTATCAATCTTTGTACAGATTACGTATAATATTGTTCTACACGCGGGAAAAAAAAAGGAAAGCATAGTTCAAGCGGAACAACTTATAATTCATATTCAAAAAAAGGAACCGATTTCGACCCATTTTTTATTTAAAAAAATTGTAAAATAATTAAATTGAAAGAAATATATATATATAATTTTATTATATTAATTTTTAAATAAATTTATTTATATGCAAAGTTTCGTTGTTTTGTAAAAACAGAATTTCTTTCCGATATTCTCTGCAGATGGCGCCATGATGCATTTTAAGGCTTTTAATTAATATCTTTTTAACTAATTGGAATATCGGAATATAAATGGTCCAAACGGATTCCTCGGATCATTCCCGAAATTTTGATACCTTCTGCGTCTTGTGGTTCGAGAGAAAATTGGGCTATATTCATATATACCGACATACATAGATACATTTGTTTACCTACGAATTTTAATATATAAGATGTAAAACATAGTTGCTGAGAATGTTTGTTAAAAATTGATTTTAAAACTTTTGTGTACGCAAAAAAAAAGTTAATTTTTTTTAAAAAATAAATATTTATAAAATTTATCAAACTTACTTTTTTTTTGCTATTATATTTTAGTTGGAAAAAAAGTGAATGTGTTCAATTTTTACCGAAAAAAAACAACTTATTTTCAATATAAGGTGAAAAGAAATTTTTTTTTCAACCACCATAGTCTTATTGATTACATTCCAAATTACTGTCTTTATTAGTTTACTAAGTTGTTTAACACTATTAATTTTTTTTTGAGAGAGAGAAAGGCATTCCGGAAACGTATGACCATTATTGAACTAGATAATTATTTCTTTTGAGTGAAGGAGAAATAAGTTATATTTTTACGATAAACTAATGGAGATCTGATGACGTCTGCCTCATCTGTAATAAATACTATGATTCTTAATATGTAATGTATATACGAAATAATAATAAAAAATTAATAATAATAATGCTCAATCTATTTACGTGTATCTTTGTGATATGAATATAAGTAACCAAATAAAAATAATATATAACCAAAATATTAAAAAAAGAATTTTAAAAATTGCTCTAAAATGAACTAAAAATATCATTATGAGTAAAAAATAATAATCAATATATAATAATAGAGAAATAGATTCTTTTACCAACTATGTTCAGCATTTTAAGCGATCGATACATTTACAGGAAAAAGATTCTGAAAATCGTAATCTTTAATACCTATAAAAATTATATATAAATCACGAGCAAATGTTATGAATATACTATGCTTTCCTCCTTCACGTCGCCCATATAATATTATTAAATACCATTTTATTAATAAAATAATTATAGCTAATAATAAGTATTATAAAATTAGCTGTGTGAAATATATAATTGAGATGAATTTGTCTTAAATATATGAAATAAAATTGAGGAAATGATGGATTAATTAATGTCACATTTCAAGTTATTCTAGAGCAGTGGTCTTCAAACTGTGTTCCACTGAACTCTGGGGGTTTCACTAGTCAGAGTAGAAGATTGAAAAGAAAACTGTAAGTGCGTATGCAAAATAGATTCAGATTCTCTATGAAAAGTTTTTACAACCACAAGTATATAAAGCTCATCCCAGTTATTAAGAAACTGAAAATTATACTAATACATAATGACTTTATATTTAGCAATACTTTTTAAACTGTTTTATGATATTACTAGCTGTATGGCCCGGCGTTGCACGGGCTTTCTGTACTTATATAAAGCTTCAGTAAAATATACTTTTTCGAAATTTCTTTGTGTTGCACAAGCTATTGCAGTTTTAAGAAATAGTATATATTTTTCAGAAGTAAAATATGCTAACACTCATATGTGCTTCGATTAAATTAACGCAAAACATGACAAATAAAATTGATAAAAGTGTCCATTTTATTTTTCTTTAACATTTTAAACTATCCTTTTTTTGTAAAAAAAATTAAAAATTATCAGTTTTATTATATTTTTCAAAAGTAATACATGGTTAATTATGCTTTGTTTATTATTTTCATGTGTGTAAAAGGAATTTCATATTCAAGAAATATTTTTATAAGTAAAAATGTAAGTGAAAAAATATAACACAAAATTATATTATGTTCAGTAAAACAATGAAAAAATATTTTGAAATTAAAATTACTTTTGTAACTTAAGGGA